GCTCATTGGGAAAAATTATTATTTTCCACATAAACATTTGCTTGAGAAAAAATACGCCATTACGTATGAGTCTACCCAATAGCAAAAGTGTGGAATGCCCTCACTCCGTCAACGAACTGCCCCCGGCTAACGCTTCGGCGTTCGGAGCCTTGAATGCACGGCAGGTTCAGCACGCTTTCTACCCTTCCCACACAGTTAATGCGCATCTATGCTGCCTATGTTTATCGTTTTCCACTTTCTTCAGAGTCCGAAAAGTCGATATACAGCAGTGTCTTAGTACAGCAATCTCTTGATCTGTTATCGCCGTTGAGCTCTTAGGCTGCGTTTATACTTTGCGGCAGCGTAGCGTAGCGTAGCGCAGCGTAGCGTAGCGCTTCCAGCGTACGCCAGCGGCAGTGCCGAAGAGAGGATGCATATCGATCTAGCTTCACCAGCGGCACGCTGGCGTACGCTAGCGTACGCCAGCGTTTCTCCAGCGTTTCACCAGCGTTTTGCTAGCGCTTGCAGCGGCAGGGAGTAGAGACTATGTGGCCGTGAGAGAAGCGGAATCGACGTGTATTGTAGAGACCATATGGCCGTCGGAGACGCAGAAGCGATGTGCATTGTAGAGACTATGTGGCGTCGGAGACGCAGAAGCAATGTGCATCGTAGAGACTATGGGCCGTCGGAGACGCAGAAGCGATGTGCATTGTAGAGACTAAGGGCGAGTGAGAGACGCGCAATCGATGTGTTTTGTACCCTCCAGCTCTCCCATAGTCTCTACTCCCCTGCCGCTGCAAACGCTAGCAAAACGCTGGTGAAACGCTGGAGAAACGCTGGCGTACGCTAGCGTGCCGCTAGCGTACGCCGCTGGTGACGCTGGTGAAGCTAGATCGATATGCATCCTCTCTTCGGCACTGCCGCTGGCGTACGCTGGAAGCGCTACGCTACGCTGCGCTACGCTACGCTACGCTGCCGCAAAGTATAAACGCAGCCTTACTGGTGTGAACCCCAGGTCGACTCCCTCTCGAACCAACCGAGCTTCCATGCCTACAAGAAATGCTAACACTAGGCTCCTCTAAGAGGATAAAAGCGTCGATTTCTAGATGGAGCCGTCATCCACTCCCCCCCCCCGCTGCAATGCAATGCATGGGCCATCTCACTTTGAAAAGCCACCTCGGAAGAACCGATGACGTCGTTGGGTGTCCTGTCTTAGTTCCACTTGGCCCATCAGAAGAACGATCACACCTGTCTGAGCGTTTGCTTCCTTCTTCCTCTATTTTTTTGCAACCCTCAAGAACCCTCAGTTCTTTCCAAAGCATTAGAGACGTCGAAAATGGATCCAACATCAAAGTGGAAGCGGCGGCATACTCTCGGCAACGAATTTGATGAACCAACTCTATTTTTTGATAGCTTTGTTGGGCGCACTTCATTTGAGCAAACAAAATCTCATGCACAGTGGAAAAACTGTAGATAAAACGATTAAAAAGCGCGCGGCTCCAGCTTGTCCCAGGTTTTTTTTTCGCGGTTGTATCTGAGCGCGGAAAGGAGCGCCTCGCGACGCTTGCGCATTCACGTCCCGACTCTTTTCGCATTTGAAGGTCTCTGCTTCTTTCACCTGGAGCTTCGCCGCTACTCCCCTTTTCGCCTCAGATATTGGATATTCCACCACTAGCACTATGACACAAGAGCGATCATTCAGTGACTAAAGGAATAAAGTGAGATTAAATGCAACTGGCACGAATTTGGTACTTGGTAGTAGATGTGCTAAATAGTGGGAAATAATAAAAAAACGAAGTGAAAGGGTTGAATACCTGCAAAAGCCTTTGTTCTACAAGGTTCAGCAATTTCGGACAAGTTTCCCGCTGGCAACGTGCAAATAACCGTTACAGTAGATGCATGTATGTGCTTATATAACCATGCAGCCGCTTCATGCCAATCCCTTAGCTTCACATTGTACTTCGCAAATGAAGCAACATAAGCATAGGTATTAGTCGGACATTTGTGCGAGGCAGGCGCGGTGGGCGTCCCGGTCCGTATATTGCACCTTAGTAAGGGTGCTATAAGGGTGCGTTCCTTGGGAAGGGCGCCACGCAGAGCTTGCTCAGGAGCGCCGAATTGTGTCCCGTCCTTTATTTATCCTACACCTCTTGGAGACTTGCCTTCCAATTTGTGAGTGGAACGAGCGCTATCACTTGTACCTTCAAGGAGACAGTTGAACATAGATAGTAATTTTCACTGTAGACGCTGGGAGGTGTCGGGTAGCCGGGTTTTATCCCGCACCTTCCCAAGCAGTTGTCGCATCAATAGCTGGTTACAAACGGATTGGCGCCGTGCCAAAACCAGCTCCTTCTCACGCTTCGGTGTGTGCACCGGTAAGACCTCAACGGATAACAGATCAAGAGATTGCTGTACTATTCTAGAGACATTGCTGTATACCGACTTTTCGGACTCTGAAGAAAGTGGAAAATGATAAACATAGGCAGCATAGATGCGCATTAACTGTGGAGGGTGAAAATACTGCTTGAAACTGCCGCCGGTGCATTCGAGGCCTCCGACAAAGGCGACAATCGCCGAGTAGCGAGCAGGTTCGTTGACGGAACACGAAGTGAGAGCATCTCCACCATTGTGCTATTGGGCAGACCCAATAAGTAATGGCGTTGTTTTTTTTATTTTCTCAAGCAAAAATGTTTATACGAAAAATTATAATTTTTTCCCAAATGAGTTTCTACATTGTCGAGATATGATATTTTCCATCCTCTTATAAGTAGCATAGTTGCCTTCATTAACGTTTCTTGGTTTTTGTTCATCTTTATTCCATTGAAATGGAAAGTCGGGTTGGCACAAGTAAGTTTTGAAAACAAACTTTTTGCACTTTTTCTCGGCCTCTGAATTACAGAAGAAGTTCAACAACTTGTGATTTATAGGGATCAGAGGAAGGATCGCGGTTATGACATTGTCAAAACCAAAAACCGAAAACCCATCTCATGATTGCTTGAAGTTGGTTCAAAGCATCATGAGATGGTTTTCGCGGACTTGTACAATGTGCAACGCATGGGGGTCTCCTGGGGAGCGACGCCTGCATGAAGACTCAGTCCACTGCATTTTCGAGAAAACGTCTAACAATTCAAACTGAGGTGGTGGTACGTGGATGATAAGGAGTATTCCATTGATCTCAACGATTCCCATCCCTGGATGAGTCTCCATGAATAAGGATATTCAGTAAGCTCTCAGTTGGACTGAAGAGGGCATTAGGTCTGATGCATCTCTGAAAGGTCTACATTGAGATCTTCGAATCACTTTGAACGTCGTAATCATTCCTAAGAGACGCAGCCTCTTAGCTGTATACTTAGCCTCCTGTGTGTGTGCGGTTTCAGCCCTTTAAATAGAATAAAGTTGGGAGGACTGTTCGAAAATGCTCATTTCGTCGACTGCACCAGTTGAGCCAGTTTAATATAAGTCGGAAAAAATCCACGAAAACGAAAAGACTGTCTGTAGGGCAAGGAATTCTCCTAAAAAATAGGATAAAACGGTATGGCAAAAATTTTCATCTTCAGCGCGATATTTCGAGTGAGAAGAAACGCCATTACGTATGGGCCGACCCAATACTTTCCGTCGACGTGTCGGCCCATCTAGAAAGCGTTTTCTTGAGTTGACAGGTTCTACCCATGGTCCCTCGACGAGCTTGCTCCAGCTTCACAATAGCTCACAGGTTTCACCAGAGTGAACCTTGTAAACCGGAACTAGAGAATCAGCGAAAGTTCGAAACGCCTCCCCCCCCCGTCCCAGCTGCGCCCCGGTTGCGAAAATATTAATTATATCTAATCATATAAAATATGATTTTATTTATTATTAGATTATCATACCATATTCGGTTACGGCTACAGCAGCGCCCTAGAGAAGTTCTAAAGACTACTCGACCTAATAGAAGGACCTAACGCACCTGAGTGAGAGTCACACCACTAAGTTCTGATATCAATATTTCCAGTGTGAAGTGTCTCTCAAGGAATAAAATATCTTCACAGAAAAAGCAAATGTTGTGAGCCGTTAATTTCCGTCCTCGTGTAATAGTTTGCCTTAGTTGTTATTGAGAAAAAAGTGTTTCCAATTGTGATGGTTCATTTGTTATTCTCAAAGTATTTTCAATGCATGACTCACCCTTTGAGTATCGTTGGCGAACGGTGATTCGAGTTCAAGCATCAGTTCGGGTGTGCGATGAAATCCGATCACTCCATAGCGAACCTGATCGACCTTTGAGAACCGTTGAGAGACGTCTTTAAAAAAACAAAATGAATCAATAGCTCCTCATGACTTGAGATTTCAATCGTTTATCGACTCGTTTACCAGCAGCATCATTTTCTACAGATATATTAGTGCGAAGCGCTTTTTCACAAGACTCCACCCTTCTCTTTTCCTCTTTTCCTTTCCAGTTCGCGCGCCCATTGAATAGATGATATAGATAACTTTCTTTGATAAATAACTGTTAGGATCTGAGCTGAACCAACTGGCGAAGGCATCTTCGAACAGCCTTCAATATCTTGATTTCTAAGAAACAATATACATTCCTGCAGCGAGCTCTATTGATTTATCGATTCATCTGAGCAGCTAATTTATTGACATTATTTGTTTATTTCAATTATTTGGAAGATAATTTTCATTCTGATGCCCCCCTCATTCTTTAGAATTTCTTCTTGAACCTTCATCTGAACAAATTGAAAACCCCAGTAGCGTTCGCTGAGTTGAGTGATGGCGATCCACTGAGACTGGAGAAAAGTGGCAAGAAAACTCGCAAACTGTCGCCGTTGAACTTCATGTTTGGTGTTCTCAAGAGCTCGGCATCCACAAACGTCTTCAGTGCCTGTTTCATCGAGAAAAGATGTTTTTCGTTCTCGGAATTGCTGCTCTACCGTTTGAGGGAGCCGCCGCATTCCAGTGACTGAGAGCGGGCAGACGAGAAGTTGTTCTTCAGAGGTACACTTCGTAATGTCGATGTGCGACTCTCCATGTATCTCGGCATGTTCTTCAGTAATTGTCAACGAACTGTTCTAGCTCAGAACCAAGATTGATGACAACTTTTCATTCGGCTGCCGTTTCGTCGCTTTCTTCAGAGCCTGAAGAGTCGAAAGACATTTTGAACACACTTCGTCCACACACTATTTCAGACCAAAGATAATCATAAACCACTAGTGACGCCATCAGACTCCTCCAGAAGTCACTCCAGGACAGGGTACAGCATCGCTGTGTCAAGCCCATGGGGGGCGTACTTTTGCTCTGTGGAGGAGTCGTATGTATTAAGACAAAATTTATTTTGAAAAGTTGGGTTTTTTTCATGTGGAACACGGGCCCGTGGAGGTGGAGGCAGGGATAGTTGCCGCTAGCCTGTGGACTCCATTCGAAAGGGGGGGGGGTCGTACTCACACCGACATTTCGCACATCCCCATGCCTACCCTGCTCCAGGATACCCACACTGCTAAATCCGTCTAACCTCGTACTATGCAGTCTCAATAGTGTGTACGAAGAGTTTCTCAAAAGTTTCTCGCCTTTTGCTATGCAGAAGGCGGAAACGCCGGAACCGAATGACGAGCCGCAGCGGAAGGACGGCCGAGCAGGGCACGCCATCTTTGTGATCATCACAACAGGGGGGTCGTATTTGCCCGCGATGGAGGGGGGGGGTCGTAAACGCATGGCCCATGTTGAAGTGGAGAGAGCGGTGATACACGGTACAAGGTAAAAAAAAGAAAGCTGCAAATGGACAATGGTAGATGACAATAAATAGAACTAGGCACTATCGAACTATTCCTAGGCCAAAAACTAAAAAAAATATTGCTGAAACTTTTCCTCCTTCCTCACAAAAAAATTTCAAGACACTTCGCCCACCAACCCTCCCCATCTGCTCTAGGTGAATCCCAATCCACTAATCCGCAAAATCTAGAAAATAATCCATTGCAAAAGCTACCTATGAAACCGTAGAAATTGAATCCTGAGCAATTTCCTCACAACAAAAACAATCTCAACAACAGACGAATAATCGAACAACGAAAAACAAAGAAAGTAAGTTGCACAATGAAGAAGGATTAAGAAAAAACGTCACCGCCCCGCTGGACCGGAACTATGGATTACTTTTGAATTTTAGCTGTTCGCGGTCAGCGCGCTCATACAAGCGCATTGGTGCGCGCTATTTTACGGTTTGGAGCCAATTTCAAAGCCAAACGCACGCTGGAAATACCCCGTCATTTTTGAAAACCTAACTTCGTTGAAAGTGAAGCTATCGGAGAGGGGTAAGTGGGAATGAGTAGAGCTAGGTTGGCTCTTGTCACCTGAATTGAGCGATTTCAAAAACGTTTTGTCTTCCAGGACGATTTTCCCCGTTTGTTGATCATCTTTGTGATCCATCTGTGATCATTTTTGCGAACCGCGAGTCGCTACGCTTTGGACGTCCATGGCAAGCTTCATACACGACCTTTCGTAAAAAAAGAACTGTGCCGGAAGCTTGAAGATTTCTACTTTCCAGCAAGGTTTTTAATTTCACCTTCCTAGACCTACGTATCGAAAAATTCCCCGTTGTGATCATGTCTCTGCTATATCACCCAACGACACCGAAAAATTCACCCCTCCGAGCCAGGAAACTCCCAGTTGCCGAAGGACTTGACGTGTGTCCTGAAACACATGTTTTCGTCAAGCATATCAGGTAATAGGCCATTGGGCGCCAATTGGCATCACATGTGCAATGCGCCATGCATGGGGCTTTCACGCAGGTGTTGAAACAACATCGCCCGGTGTAACTTCTAGATAGGGCTTCCCAATTGCAAGCAAATGTGCTCCTACGATCAGAAAAGTCCGGGAATGTACTTTCATCTGTTTATTAATCGTCACGTCGTGAGTCCTCTTGTTTGTTTATAAATTTATGGGGCCCTTGTGGGCGGTGATCGTCCCCCCCCCGCCCCGCCCCACCCCGGCCCATAGTCCTATCATCGCCCCTCTGTATTGTAGTAGACTACACGCACCCAGAGTGCTGGAGTGACTTCGGGCACTACTAGGTAACTGCGAGCCGCCCCCCCCGCTCTGACAGTCAAATTTGTTGAAAAACCAAAAGCTTTTTGGGGAAAAATAACAAAGCTGGAGGAGGTTGAGAAAATCTAGAAGGGATAACGTGGGGAGGGAGTCTTATGAAGATGGAAGTGAGCGGGCGGCAGTATTTTTCACGGAATATGATCACAACGCAATGGCAGTGCCCTGCCGAACCTAGCGAAGAAAACTTAAGTTCTCGGTGCTGAGCTGGAACAGTTCATTCCGATTTAGTGAGGCACACTTCGTATTCAACGAATCTTTTGGTGAGTAGGTAATTTGGATATTCGAACCCAGCAGGGGCGTAGTCCATAGTAAGCGAGAAGAAGACAAGGATACCATCCAGACACATGAGGCCAGTGCCCAGTTGAATGTGACTTTCTCGTCCTCGACAGCTTTCTCGGGCGCTAGTAACCTTGGGGGGGGGGGGGGGGAAGGGGAACACCTGCAAGTGCTTGTCAGCATATCAAATGTGAACTGTACGCAAGTGTATACTGGACAACCTGTCAACGACGGACGCCTTGTTACCACCTGTCAAACCCCCTGTAAACACCTGCCAAACTTTTCAAGATGGTCAATTTCTAAAACTGGCCGCAGTATATCGGATATCGGATATATAGCACTTTATACAGCTATGATCCGTGTTAGCGATAGGGTGCCTGACGGGCGCGTATAAGAGCACAGTCAGGACCCCCTTTTCGCACGCCCTTTTCGCAGTGGTGCCGTTCCGAACCCTCCACAATTGGTGGGAATTCTTATCTGGCTGTGCTTCAAGCCGTGCCCCCGTCAAACGCCCTATCGTTTGCAGGGGTCATGTCTTTAGCTGCAAGGTTTGAAAGGAGTTTACAGGGTACTCCACAGGAATTTACAGTACTTGCAGGGATTGTCCGCTGTCCACACCTGCACTATTAAAGACAGCCCCCGCGCTCAAGTAGTACATGGTCGTCCTTCCTTGTGCAAGTAGTACAGCCCCCAAGCTAGAGACTGTCCCACTCTCAACTCCACAGCGAGCGAGAAAGTCTAGTTCTAAGCGCCCGTCTCGGGTTTGACGCCCACCTGCCTAGGTGCACCTCCGACGGGGAGCCGCTCAGTTGGTTCTTTTTGCGGGCGTCGAGTCATTAATCGGAAATTAGCATGCCCTCTTTGCTTGACCGCGCTCGCGTGCTCATGGATGATTCTGCTCTCCTTTATTGCATTTTATTTATTAGGAGCACATACAATCAATTCCAACCCATCTCGCAAGGTAAAACACGTAAAAATCACGAGCGACCCAATTTTCGGTTGTGCAAAAGCTCGACGTACTACTCTACACTAAAAGATGCAACGCTACCGTAACCCTAAATTCAGACGCCGACTTTTTGCAAGTTTATTTTATTTTTCAGAGTTTTTCTTCCGTGTTTTTGTTGTTTTTAATAATCTTTTCTTTGCATTGTCATGATTCCACTACTGGAGATGTAAGGATTTATGAGCCAGGGCTTGTACAGAGACCGCAGGGAGGTGTTACTGTAAGGCAGCGATTTTGTATTCTTGTTATTCTTGAGGACTCTTCTTACTTTTTTTTCCTCTTTGGAGAATTCACTTATCAGCTAACTGATTTTCATAACACTGAAAAGCCAAACTATCCATGTCACTATTATCGCCGGGAGCTGTCTTTGACATACGAAGCTTGTGCACATAACGTTCAGATGTGCTTACTCCGGGTATTAGCGCTTTTCTATCCCATCATGCCTATGAGTTCTTCATGTTTCTGTTTTCAACCCCCCACTAAATAGCGTCTGGAGCAGGAAATATTTTAAGTGTACAAATAACTTGCCATGTGTGCTAGTGCAGAGCATCTCAGGACATATGAAAGTTACAGAACAAGTAAAAACGCGGACCAAGAGCAGTACTACAGTAGACTGCGCTTAGCCCTTCAAACGCATTAGAAGGCACATCAGTAGAGTAAGTTCATTGTTGATGAACTCCTTTCCTTTTCTTAGGCTTCCTATAGGCGCCGCAACTACCAAAGTTCGATAATGCAATTAGGTAGGTGATTTAGCGAATCATGCTCTTCAGCGTGCTTCCAGGTTTCCAACGTAACGCCTACAGAAGGTTAGAGTATCGAAGGATGACGCGGCTCCTCTAGGACAAACCCCCTCTGGGTAAAGGAGTCAGACAGCAGTGTCCCCTTATTGAAGGAAGTCATTAAGATCCACTTTTCGACACTACAAAGAAATCGTTTCCGAAAGATAAAAGCATTCAGCAAGCTGAGACAAAAAAGTCGTTTGAACCGTCGCGCTGGACTTATTAAGCCCATTTAGCCAACATCAAATCACCACCAACTTCACGTATTCAAACGGCGTCGACTCACTTTAGTGTTCGCAGCAGACGATGCTGTTGGACGAGAAATGCCGTCGAATTTGACGACGTCGTGTCGATGAGAAATACCACATCGGCATCCGAATCCGAACATGTCACTGAAATACGTGCGATAAGAAACTGGAAACACGTGAAATACTCAAGCATTTTCGATTGTTGATCTCACTGGGAGGCTTTATTTAGAAAAAAGTGACTCTTAAACACAGCCCTGCTCAAGGAAATCGTAGGCGGCCTTCCTTGTAAAAGTAGCCTGGTCCTCAGTCTCTACGACCATCTCACTTTCGCGGCTCCACAATAAGCAGCAAATTTGCTGCGGTCCTCGTAAGTGGCAGTTCTGACGCCCTCTTAGTTGCCCCACCCACAAAAACTCAAAAGCTGTTCAGAGGTGGCACGATATCGCTTTGCTGGCCTGAAACGAGTAGATCCGGAGAACTCGTCCACGGAGGCTGCCAGTCTCTTTTCAGGGTGTTTTCCATGATTTCTTTCTCTTTTTCTCTGGAGAGTTATTTAGTCTACTGTGGGTTTTTAATTGAGGCCACTATCCACGATGTGCAATCACGGCGTTCGTCTTTGGAAAAGAATCGCAAAATTCCC